CTCCTCTTCGCCGCCGAAAACCGCCGTCCTGACAAAAGCAGCTCTCCCGCCCGAGGCTACCTCCTGTTTTACGTTGGACTGGCGCCCGACTCTCGTTTGAATTGGCGCCGCTCCCAGCAAGAATAACGCTCCCGCTCGAGGTTTCTTTTTTTTTTGTTTCCTTTCCTCGGGACGGTGCTGTTTCTCGCCGCCAACAGCCCCCGTCCCGACAAAACCACGGTTCCCGCTCGAGGCTTCTTCCCTTCTTACTCAAGGCGGTGTTCCTCCTCGCCGCCGAAAGCCGCCGTCCCAACAAAACAGCGCTCCTGCTCCGGACTTCCTCCCGTTTTACCTTGGACTGGCGCGCTGCTCTTTCTCTCATCGGCGCCGCCCCCAGCAAAAACAACGCTCCCGTTCGAGACCTCTTCATTTTTTACCCAAGGCGGTGCTGTTTCTCGCCGCCGAAAACTGCCGTCCCAACAAAACCAGTGCTCCCGCTCGAGACTTCGTTTTGTTTTACGTTGGACTGGCGCCCTACTCTATTCAGCATTGGCGCTGCTCCCAGCAACAACAGCGGCCCTGCTCGAGACTTCCTCCCTTTCTACTCAGGGCCAGGTCCTCGCCTCGCCGCCGACAGCCCCCATTCCCACCAAGGCAATGCTGTCGCTCGATACTTCCTTTTGCTTTACCCTTGGCTGGGGCGCCACTGACGGTCTCGCATCGGCGCAGCAAGGCGCGGGCATGTGTTTTCGAGCCCGCATATGTTGAAACTCCTCGGAGGAGGTGTTTGCAAGACCTCATTGGGCGGGAGATCTGGCAATGGGAATAACGGACCCCGCTGTAGAACATGAGTCCACCATGCATGGGGATGGTTATCATGATGGTCGCATGCTTCGTGTGGAAACATCGCGCATGAGGGTAAAATGATTGTTGTTGTTGTTGAGCTCTCACTATTGACGAATGTTCTTGTTGATCCCCCCCTCCGGTGCACATTGTATTTTTCAATTGAAGTGCCCCTCCCGGCGCTCGCACTTTGTTTTTTATCAGGGAAAGCCTTCCTCCTCAAGTTGGGCCCCTGGCCCCCAGTTTACAACAACAACAACGGCTCCCGCTTGATACTTCCTCGAAATTTACCCCGGTCCCCCGCTCCCGCTTACTTCTTCGCAATTTACTCAAGAATCGCGCTCCCGCTTGAGACTTCCGCGCAATTTACTCAGGCGCCGCGCTCTTGCCATTCAGGAATCGCGCGTTCGCTGAGGACTTCCTCAAATTTTCTTAGGAATCGTTCTCTCGCTGGAAACATCCTGGCTAATCACACAGAGATCACGAAGAAATCGATACCCACCAAAAGTGGTATGATCGAAAACGAAGAGGGCGGTTATCGAGGGTTCGGGAGATGCACGCTGAATGACACTCGAGCATATAAGAGCGAACGGTATTAAAATGATTGTTGTTGCTGTTGTTGTTGTAATTGTTGTTGTTGCTGTTGTTGTTGTTGTTGTTGTTGTTGTTGTTGTTGTTGTTGTTGTTCTTGTTGTTGTTGGGGGGTTGGCGCACCCCCGAAACGCTTGAGCGTGAACTTGATTCTCAAAGGGAACGCAGCCGTCGCCGAGGCGAGAGTTTCAGGGCACCTCTAGGGGATCCAACAATAATGATTATTGGTTAGGAAGTAAGATTCAACAACAACAACAGCCACAACAACAACGATCAGTTAATGAAGGTTCACTCTTATCTGCTCGCGTGCCATTTAACACGCATGTCCCAAACCCTCGATTTCCGTCCTGATCGTGTTCGACCGTCCCCACTTCCTTACGTGCAACGTGTATTTCGTATAGCACCGAAGGCAGGGGAAGAGAGGAAGGATGGAAGGAAGGGACAAGTGGCAGGCGGGTTGCTGAAGCGTGGGTCCAGCATGAATCGTGAAGAAGTATCGAGCGATATCGCGATTCCCAAACAAATCGTGAGGAAAACCGAAGCGAGAGCGTGATTCCTCAGTGTCGAGGGCGGAGCGTCTGAATGATTGCGAGGAGGTCGCACGCGAGAGCGCGATTCCTGTATAGCTTGTGAAGGAGTCCCGCGCGAAATCGCGATGTGGGAATACAGTGCAAGGAAGAAGCAGGCGGGAACCATTGTTGTTGTTGTTGTTGTTGTAGTTGGGGCCCAACTATTTAGTTGGGTTGAACAACTGCGATGGTTACGGGGCAGGGGGAACAACAACAGTTATTGCTTAGAAATGATATTTCAACAACGCCGACGGCTCCAGGTCGAGACGTCCTCGCCATTTGTGCATTCCACGCAGGGTATCACAGAGATCTCCCACAAGGGGATTCCTGAAGGATTCTTGAGGGATTCCTGAAGGATAGCCGAAGGATTTGCTAGGGATTCCTGAAGGATTGCTGTTGGCTCCCCAGGATTCGTAAAAGGATCCCTGAGGGATTCTTCAGGGAGCCCTCCAGAATCTGATGGAACCCCGAAGCATTTCCCAGGATTCCTGAGGAATTCGGGATGGTCCAGCAAGGATTCTTGAAGATTATCGGAGGACTCCTGAGGATTCTTACGGGATGTCTGGATCCCTCGAGGATTCCAGAGGATTTCGGGGTAGTTCCTGGGGAATCCTCAGGGATTCCGAATGGATTCCGGAGGGAATCCACCAAGGATTCTTCATGAGGGAATCGTACGGATTCCTGAGGGTTCCCTGAGGAGCTCGAAGGGATTCTTGGGGATGCCGCTACGATTCTTCAGGGATGCAGAAGGGAGTCCTGGAACTTCTCGAGGCTTCCTGACTTTATCCTGGCGAGGATGATGGGGGTGGTCGCGATGATGATGATAATGATACTGATGATAGTCATGCTGATGATGGTCATGATGATAATTCGTGATGCTAATGATGATGGTGATGGTGATGATGATGGTGGTCATCGTTATGATGGTCAGTGTAATGATGATGCTGGTGATGATGATTATGGTGATGATGCTGGTGATGATCATGATGATGTTGGTGATGGTGAGGATGACGATGATGGTTGGGGTGATGATGTTAAAAATGATGGTGGTGATGCTCGATCTGGGATCTGGTCAAGTATAATCAGTTTTTTGCAGAGTCCGATCGGAATTCAAGCGGAACCAGTTGGGTCTGTGATCTTTTCACTCTCAATTATGTATTAATTATAATGCAATAGGAGAAAAGAGGAGTCCGCTGGATATGGAATTTGATGAATTTTAATTGGAATTTAATTACGTACCAATCAGAATCATATTGGAACCAGCTGGATCTGTGATCTGCTCAACTCGAATGAGATTTAATTCGTGTCCAATGGGAATTTAGGTCGTATCAGCTGGATCTGACATGGATCAGTTCTAACTACATTGTAATTCGGCTTTGGAACCAGCTGGATCTGGGATCTGATCAATTCTGATTACATATTCATTCGAATACAGTAAGAACTCACTTAATTGTGGTCTGCTCAATGGTCATTCCTCTGCAGTAAAGATTCGAAAAGGAATCCAAGTGGAATCAGCTCCTAATTCAAGGTTCGAGCGGTTTCCCTTTTCCCTCATCTTCGGGTGGCCATTGGAAACCCAATCCAACTGCAACGCCTTCCTATTTCGTTATTCTGCCTACTTCTTCCAGCCGGTAGTTATCTAGGGACAGGAAGGGCGCAAAGTTCCGGAGATTGAAGGGGGCGATTCTTAGAGGACGCGTGCGACGAGGGGATGGGGTCGGCCTTAGAACGCACCACCTTCTCTGGATTCCATCATAAGCACCTCCCCCGTGCCATCCTGACAGGCAGCACGTTCCGACCCCCCCACGCGCCCCGACGGAAACTGCCCGTCGACCCCCCCACCCACCCATCCAACCCCCTTCTCCCCTTGCGCAAAAAGACGACGGCTTACCAAAGCTGCCCCCCCCCCACACACACACACACCCCGCGGCAGATGGACAAGACGGACCCCCCCCACGCGGGACGACGCCGCAGCATCAAAATTTGCACGCCCCCACGCCCCCCGTGGGACAACCCATCTCCGCCCCCCCAACGCGATCCAGCCCTCGCACGCTCATTCTGGAATCCGGCAGAGGAGCCTTCTGACCCTCCCCAGCGTGCACGAGGCACGGTGAAGGATCGATGCATTGACAGGATACGGTAGGTTCGCGTCGTGTCGACCGGCGGCGCCCCCGCCGCCAGGCGTTCAAAGTTGAACGCCGCCAGCGACCCAGAATCCGTCGATGTTGAACTATCGGACGTTTCGGAAACGGCCGATCGTTCAAGGTTGAACGATCCGCACGGTGTCCAGAACCAACGCCAGGGTCGACACGACACGAACCTGCCGTACGCAGGGCTACCGTGAGTTGCCGCAGATTAGGGGGACAAACAATGACATGACAAAAAACTCAGAGGTCCGCGTGGATGTCTCGGATCGGCGCTGGACCCCCAGAGGCGGCAACGGAGACGCCGTCCGAGTTCTTGGCTGGCTTCCCTGAGACAGGACGCGCAGGGGCCCCGTGAGTTGCCGCGTCACGCCTCCCCCCCCCGCCCCGCCCCAACCCACCGCGGGAGAGAGGAGCGAGGAGCGAAGAGCGAGGAGCGAGGAGCGAGGAGCGAGAGGCCAGGAGCGAGGAGCCAGGAGCCAGGAGCAAGGAGCGAGGAGCGAGGAGGAGGAATAGGAGGAATAGGTAGGAGGAGGAGAAGGAGGAGGAGGAGGAGGTGGAGGAGGAACAGGAGGAGGAGGAGGAGGAACAGGAGGAGGAGGAAGGAACAGGAGGGGAGGAGGAGGAGGAGGAGGAGGAGGGGAGGAGGAGGAGGAGGGAGGGAGGATGATAGGAGGAGGAGGAGGAGGATGTAGGACCAGGAGGAATAGGAGGAGGAGAGGAGGGGAAGGAATAGGAGGAGGAGGAGGAGCGAGGGGAGGAGGAGGAGGAGGAGGAGGAGGAGGAGGAGGAGGAGGGAGGGGAGGAGGCGGAGGAGGGGAGGAGGTGGAGGAGGAGGAGGAGGAGGAGGGAAGGAGAGGAGGAGAGCGCCCAGGCGGCGTGCTCGCGCTCCGCGGCTCGGTGCTGCCGAGTGCATCACGGTCTCCCCGCCGGGCGCGGCCCGGCGGCCACGGGCGCGCGCCGCGGGCGTGCAGGCGCCCGCCCTGCGCCCCCGCTGCTACGCCGGGTGGGTGGGTGGCCGCAGCCGCCGCGCGGATGGCGCTGCGCCTGCGCCCCGCTGCCGTACCGCCGCGGCTCGGCGCGGCCTGCCGCGGCCTCAGGTCCTCTCGGGGGGCCCGTGGCCAGAGGGTCCGATGGCGTGTTTCGGTGGAGGAGGAGGAGGAGGAGGAGAGGAGGGAGGAGTAGGAGGAGGAGGGAGGAGGAGGAGGAGGAGGAGGATTGGGAGGGAGGATGGAGGGTGACGGGGAGGAGGAGGAGGAGGGAGGGAGGAGGTGGGAGGAGGGTGGAGGTCCGAGAAGGGAGGAAGGAGGAGGTGGAGGAGGAGGAGGAGGAGGAGGAGGAGGAGGAGGAGATGAGGAGGAGGAGGAGGAGGAGGAGGAGGAGGAGGAGGAGGAGGAGGAGGGAGGAGGGAGGGCGTGATTCGGAGGTTGATAGTCAGGAGTTCTCTTGGGCCATCTTAGGGCCATCTTGATGCCTCAACAGCGCATCAGAAGCGAAAAGGCCAGAAGGCAAGCATCAGCGATATCCCTGAGGCGTTCGAATGCTTCTGGCTTCTCGGGGAGGTCCTAAGGGGTCGCCAGACGCTCCTGGAAACATTTTGTGGCTCTCTTGGGCCTCCTGGAGGCGTATTGGAACCCACCTCGAACGATCTTGCAGTACCTTGAAGCATCTTGGAGTCAGGGGGGGAAAAACACACAGACACAATTAATCGTCGATTCCCCAGAAAATATGGGAACATATGGGAAGTGTGGGGGGGGGGGGGGAAGACAGAAACTAGGAAAATAGCGGAAAATATGGGGAATCTGGTTATTTGTGTATATTTCCCTACCTAGGCTCTGCCTAGAAGGGTTCTTACTCGGAGGCTTAAAGGGCCGGGCAGTGGATCGCGCCCCGGGCGGTTGCCCCGGCATCCGCCCCGCGGTTCCCCCAGTGACGTTCCCTTAGCTTCGCGTTGCTTATCTCATCTTAGCTTAGCTTATTTCATCTTACCTTAGCTTAGCTTCATCTTACCTCAGTTTTATCTTAGCTTAGCTTACCTTCATCTTAGCTTCGCTGAGCTTTAGCATAGCAGAGCACAGCATAGCATAGCGTAGCATAGCATAGCGCAGCATCGCATATCATAGCATGTGTGTAATTCCCTACCTAGGCTCTGCCTAGAGGGTTAGCTTAGCTTAGCTTAGCTTAGTTTAACTTAGCATAGCGCAGCGCTGCATTAGCATCACATAGCATAGCATAACATAGCCAAGCATAGCATAGCATAGCATTGCGCAGCATAGCATAATATAGCATCGCATAGCGCAGCTTAGCATAGCATAGCTAAGCTTAAAGGGCCGGGCAGTGGGGCTCGCCCCAGGTGGTTCCCACGGCATCCGCCCCGCGGTTCCCCCAGTGACGTTCCCTTAGCTTCGCGTTGCTTATCTCATCTTAGCTTATCTTATTTCATCTTAGCTTAGCTTCATATTAGCTTAGCTTAGCTTAGCTTCATATAAGTGTTAGCTACATTAGATCCTCCAACTCCTAGGTAGGGTCGCACTGGGATATCAATTTGCGTGTCCCAGTTCCCCTTCAGATAGACCTCCTGCCCTGACGCGTCGATTGAGGAGTTGGCCGTTCTCGGTTCGCGGGAGGGCGTCGCGGCCGTCGTTTCTGCGGGTTCAGGTCCGTCGGCTTCGGTCCCGGGCCGTTGTCACTAAGGGGAGGTTTGCTCAAGGGAGGTTTGTCCACCGCCGAACGTGGTCTTTTCAGGCCGGCGTCGTTTCCTGGACGTCGGCCTCCGGCGCCCGTTCTCTCGGCCCCCCGGGGGCCAGCAGACGTGGATCTGGATCGAAGGGCCCTCCCGGGGGGAGGGGTCGGGGCCTGGGGCCGCAGCTGGAAAGAAGTCGTGTCGGCGGATGTCAGGAGGCTTTGGAGCCGTCGGCGACGTCGGCGGGTCCCCTCCGCCGAGCAGGCCGGGCCCCATCCCGGAAGGAGCCCCGTCGGCCCACTGCCGGCCACAGGCGGCCCCTAAGGGCCCCCCCTCAGCAGCCCCTCGGCCGCCTCAGCAGAGGGGAGCGCGTCCCGCTGGTGCCTCTCGTGGGCTCTACGCGCCCCCCGGGCGCCTCTCCAGGCAGTCGCTTTCACTACGCCGGCAGGTTTGCCACCCATGGACTCGCAAGTGCGTTAGTCTCCTTGGTCCTTGTTTCAAGACGGGTCGAATGTGACCATTTAGTCATCGCCTTTGTGTCAAGGAAGTGCCCAAGGCACCAGGGTCGCTCGCCAGTGGCAAGCCAGGACGTGACGAGCTCTTCAAGATGCCAAGGCTCTATGCAATGGCTAGGCTTGTCAGAGACCTAGAGGTCGGCACCAGCACCGAGCGGGGGCGACCCCCCGACCCT